TAAATAAATGAGTAAATAAATAAAAAAAATAAATATATATATATATATACAATATATATGTATACATGCAGATTTGTTACGCAACTGGGTCACATTAATTCGAAAAAGAAAAAAAACACCACGATTTAGATGTATATCGGCCTTTCAGTACTACCTGCGTATCGATATTGAGTACGAAATACGTTATATTTTTTACAATGTGAAGAATCTGTAAATATTATAGCGTCGAATTATATATAATAATAATTAATAATGATAATAATAACGAAAAGGAATAATACCGACAAACGACTATCCGACATCCGAGAAAAGACAGCAATGAGAATGGCATACAGTGAAAAAAATAATGTGCATTTCCGTTACAAGTGGTTTTGCGTTAAATGTTCATTTTGTTTATTTTTCATTTCGTTTCTTTTTCGTCGACTATCGTTCGCATGATCGCTTGGGTAGATCGGATACTCGAGGCACATACAAACGACACCATTTGCGACAGAAACAAAAGAAAACAAGAGAAATTTCGTGTTCGCTGGTAATTTTAATCTCGTTGTTCGTTTATTTTGACTTGCGTGAAAAAGGGAAATAACACGAAGTCGATGCCGCATTATTTTTTACGTGTAGCAATCACAGAGAGGTAGATAGGTAGGTAGGTAGATAGATAGATAGATAGATAGATAGATAGATAAATAGATAGATTGATAGATGGATAGGCAGAGAGAGAGAGAGATAGAGGGAGAGAGAGAGAGAGAGAGGGAGAGAGAGAGAGAGAGAGTGAAAATCACACACACGGAATCATGTATCCATCTTTTGTATATTTCTCTATTTAATGCGAGTGAAAATAAACGAATAAACATACGAAAATACGCATTTTCTTTACGCGAATAGATAGTGTGTCTAACAATGCGTAGCAGCGGTGTTTCTTTTTCTTTGTAATGCATTTCTTCTTTACGTCGCATAATTGTTATTGGCGCATTTAGCTACGATTACCAGCATAAGAATCTAGTCACTACAGAATTCTTGTAACTCAATGGACATGGAAAAAGGAAAAGTGCCAGCCGAAAGCTTCGAAAAGAACTTTTTTCCAACTGTATTACCCTATCGTCTAATGAATTTTCTTTCGAAAATAATCACAGTTACCTCGAAAAACAAACATAAAGAAAACTGGTTCTCTCCTGTAGTCGAATAAACGAAATAAAATATTTACCGAAATTAAACGTCTTTCCACGTCTCTGCATTGTTGTTGTTCTTGTCGTTATTATTGTTACCGGTGGTCACGAATTGCAATCGGACTCGAGAGATGATAGGTGGATACACAAGTTCGTTTTTCTCTGCTTTGTATTGTCCAGTCAATTTTTCCATGAAAGCATTGAGAGCTTGTTCAGCGATGATAGCTACCCAAATGATTTTTACCTTGTCCGAAACTGCTGCACATTTTTTCTTTGTACGCAATTTTTCACAGTTTTCCACACAGTTTTCCACACAGTTTTCCACACAGTTTTCCACGGTTTTTCACAGTTTCTCACGGTTCTTTACTACTAACCATTGTACTGGCATTTTGGCAATATCGCACAAATATAATATAGAATAAAAACGAACGACTCACGTGGTATCAATCAATCCTCACGAAGAAACCATTCGAAATACTCATTCGGATAACTCGAGATACGTTTGTCGCGACGAATAGAAGACGTTCTTTCGAGGAAATCAATCGGGAGTAGTTTAGAAAAGAAACAAATCACAATTCTCCATAGTCCGACTATTCACGAAAATAGACATTTTTCGTTCCGTTCGATTTCATTTCAAACGAACAATTCGTCCATTCGTTTCATACACTCGTACGCCTCTGCTGCAGGTACTTTCATGCAAGCCGAAATTACTTCGTGAGTTACATAGAAATTGGAGATTTTTCGAGTACGAGGTGCGGCGGCGGCGGCGGCGGCAAGCTTCTCGTTAGAATCGTAATTCAACTCGAGACACCGATCACTGAAATGATCGAAATTGTTCAACGTGTCCTCCAGAAGACTGGTAGTATCGTTCCCAGCATCATTGTTCACATTTATAAAACAACTATCGTACAAATCCGCGTAACGGCTCTGCCTTATGCTTCCCTCGAGTTGCTGATACCTCTTGATCAACGACTCGTACACCTTTCCCGGATCTTTCATACCTTTCAGTAATACAAACTTTTTCGAGAATCGCGTAAACGACTCGAACAGGAATCCAAACAAATCGTCTTCTCCGATCGATGGATATTCCAGGGATAAGCAACAGGCCTCCATTGTCAGCCGCGAAAAGTGATTGTACGCGTCGAGTTCATCGTTCCATCCGAAAAGATACCAGCACATTATAGTCAGATCAGCGCCTAGTCTTTGATATTCCTCCCCGATCGATCGAATAATCAAGTGCCGTAGGAAATCTTCTCTCAACAGACTTAGATCCGACAACGAGTTACGCAGCCTCTCGGAAGTCGTACGATCCTCCTTTAATCTTTCTATCACGATGAAACAACGTCTTCCATAGTCTTCCGTTATGTCGATTACACTCACACCTTTTTGCATTAAATGCCAAAGGGATGAGAAGTGTAATTTCTCTATTGGTTCGATCACAGTCTGAATCTCATCGAATATCTCCTTCTTGGTGCAAGTGGGGATTTTATAGCTTCTAACTTCTAAGAAATACTTTAATATCCTTATTATCGAGGAAAGAATTTCACTGCTTACGCATTTCGAAATACCTCTATTCTTCCTCAAGAAAGACATTTTCTTAGCGAGGGCTATTGTCAGGCTTTTCAAGTTTGTCTCTTTGGTACACTTGGTTTGTAATTTACGAATATTGTACAGAACAGCGATCACGTTCGGTGCACTGAACGTCTCTTCTTCTAAATATGGTATGAAAACATTGTTCATTAAATCGTCTACCTCGATTATAGAACGGACCAATAGAACTTTTATGAAATTCATCAATTTCTTTTGATTCCATTCTGCATTCTCTAGACAGATCGTTCTCAAGATACTGGTTAAAAGTACTTGATTGTTCTCTTCGCTAATTTGCATAAACGGAGACAGCAGGAGCATGTCATTCGCAGAGATTAATATATTTTTGTACTGTGGATGGCCTATAGTTATTTTTAAAAGTGTCGTCAATGTTAATCGAAGATTCTGCAACAGAAACAACAAAACCATCTTCAAATTTGTTATTGTCAGTAAATTCGAGTTTCGTGTGATGAACTCGTCGAATGCTTCTTCCGTGTGCGGAGATTCCAAATGACTTTTTCCATCGTGTCTCGTCAGATATATAATTACAATGTCGTAAATATTCGGCAGACTCTGAGACGACAATATTTGCATAACTACGGTGTAACTGTAATTATTAAAGTCTTCTTCTTGCGACTGTTCCAGAACAAAAGTTAAATGTTCCAACAGATTCAAACAGTCTTCCTTTTGTAGTAAATGTTTGTTTTTATGGACAAAATCGAGCATCGACCTATCCCATTCTTTGTGTCGACATAACAATTCTTTCATCAGCTCTTTTTTACCGTTCGATATGGCACAACAAACTTCTTCTAAACTTAAAACGAAACTCGATTCCTTAGGATCTGGTTTCGACGATAAATGCTGCAAACATTCTATTAAATGAGTATTCTGTGACAATCTCTCGTTATTCTTTATACATTCTACAAAGTAATAACATTCGATTCCGATAGAACGTTGCAAAGTAATCATACTGTTTTCTTCGTCGTCTATTTGTACCCAGTTCATGTAAATATTACAATTGACTTCCTTAACTTTAGTTAATAATAAATCTATCAGTTGATCGGTCAATGCCGTTATGGCATTTTCCAAACGAGTCTCTTCGCATTTTCTATACGGTTCTTTTCCAAATGTTATATTATAGAATTTCTTAAGATCCCGGGACACGAAGACTTCTTCGGGTTTCCGTTCCAAGCAATTTCTTATCGTAGAAACTAACTTTTTCAACATCACGCCGTAACGTTCGTTTTTCTTCAAATTCGGTGATGTAGATGGTGGAATAACCTTTGGATTTGTTAACAGTAACACAAATTCTTGAAAGTTAATTAGAAAATTTTCTATACTTTCCTCAACATTCCAAGACTGTACACCAACTTCGTTTAAAGTGATAAATTTAGTATAAGCGATCGATATTATACAACATATGCTATTCAACGATCTTGGGTAAGGCAGTTCTTCTATACACTTTGTAACTACATCCAGTACTTCTGTGAACAGATCAAGGGGCATATACAAAAGAGACTGAATTAAGATTTTTTCATATTCGAGGTTCCATAATATTTGTATAAATAAATATGGAGACAAAGGTGGGCACATATCGACTAAATGGCCACTGACAATATCTTCTCCTAAGCGTTCTTGGTTCTTGAACCTGGTATTTAATAATAAATATGTATAAGACAACGCACACTTCTCGTCGTTAGACATAATCTTTTCTTTTATAGGTATGTCGAAAGTTTGAAATAGGTTCAACATTGACTCGCACACATCGTTTATGTGACTAATGCTTTCATCTGTTGCGCGTAAAGTGAGAAACTGCAATTCTCCGCATTCCTGATTCTTCTTCATCAGGTATGTTTGAACTTTCTTATAAAATGCATTCAATTCGTCCATTATCGATAGAATTTTTAGACTATGATCAAATTTGTACGACTCTTTGAATTATAATGTACAGCGAGTGTGTATCAATCCGTTTTTCTCTATAAGAATTTAGATATTTTTGTATTTCTGAAAAGTTATTATAGTCGTTAATGAACATGTTTATTCAACTAAATTACGAATAAGTATACATTGTTGACCGCAACGACGCATGTCATAAAAATCTATGAATTATGAGGTATTTAAATATACGATTACCATCGGTTTCTGCAATTTTATTTTCATCCTGTCTTTGCAACTCAAAGAGAAATATGTACGCCGGTACTGCGCGCGATAACTTTATCATGTACGTAGGTTACGTCACTGGGCAATAACAGTTTAAAAAATCACATGTGATCTGATCAAATTCACTCATAAAGCGAAAATGGTTCGCGTGTGGTACATGGACAACAGCGACGATGATCAACGGCTACAACACCATAAAGTACCACCTCAATTCCTCTCCCTCGAGGACTTGTTTGTCAAAACAGGTGTCGAATACTTCAAGGTTAGATCATAATTCGGTATCTATTTCTTCAACATTTTTACGCAGTAATCGATAACAACTTTATAGTTGCTTAATATTTTTCATGCTTGGCAATTGTATTTGTATACAATTATTCCGACTTATTTCGAAGATGAATTATCTGTAAGTCCACTGAAGATGATAAAGGAGCGTTACGTATTTTGATTATAAATACATACGTAAATAAACGAGTTCTCTCGGTTCCGATTAATAAAATATAGCAAGTTTTAATACGATTCGACAGAAACTTAAATTTATAATTTTAATATAGATCAATCACGAAGCCTATAAAAATGATAACATACTGACAGAATTGAAAAGGAAACGTGGTTATACCTATGAAGATGAAATTATATGTTCCAAAGACTGTCTACCAAATTACGACGAGAAAGTAAGAGATTTGTTTGGCATGTACGTTACGTGATCAAAATATTAATAATAAATCAATTCGAATGTTTAGTTACGGAACTTTTTCACCGAACACCTTCATACCGATGAAGAAATAAGATTGGTATTGGATGGGTCAGGATACTTTGATGTCAGAGACAAGGATGATCAATGGATACGTATTGAAGTTACACCTGGAGATTTAATAATCATTCCCAGTGGAATATACCACAGATTTACCTTAGACACGAATGTAAGTATTTTATTCTCCTAAAGAAATAGTATCTATATATTCTTATATCGTTGTACGTTTCTTCCCAGAATTACATAAAAGCAAAACGTTATTTCGTGGGAGAACCTGTTTGGTTACCATATAACAGACCAGCTGATAATATGGAATGCCGTAAGAATTATCTTAATCGTTTGAACAACGGTTTTCAAGATCAAGCTGCTTAATATAATATCTTCTGCATACATTCCTCGTATACATATTTTCAAGAAAAATATTGCATGCCTTAGAAAATGGTCCACTAATTTTTTATTAAAGTAGCAACAGCATTCGACGAATTACTTGTTTGACAATAATCTTGTATAAATTGCTATTAGATGCGTTAATAAATATTACATTTTGCGAAAAGTGGCGGGGACTCTGTCATTGTTAAGAGAACTTATTATTATCCTTACTCTACAGAAGTTCCTAACTCTCCGTATGAAGTTTGTAACTATTGTTTACGATTTATTTTTTATTCTTATTAAATTATATACATACATACATACATACGAAAGTCTTATCTTGGCGAATACTGAATCTTTTTGTATACAATTCCAATTCCAAGTCGTCGACTGTATTGTCAGATTTTCACGCGACTTTTATACAAATTTCGACTTGCATATTCTGGTTACGAAATCGACATCTCCCAGAGATTTGTAAAATTATCAAGTCTTCTTAAAAATAATTATATATTCTATGTTCTATGTATACTCCACGATCTATCGGACAGCGTTACGCGAAACGATGTCACGATTAATGTACAATAAACTATCACGACTTCAAAAGAAATAGACATGACAAATTCGTCCAAACTTCAGTGGATTACAAATTTCATCGTCAAGATTTAAAAGATCAAAGCAAAGGTCAAATAAATATTACAATTATCCTTCGTTGGAATCGAATTACAGTAAACGACTAATCAGTTCCGATACGAGAAGGTAAACTAGTTTCCCTTAATCGACACTAATATAAATATAAACGATAATAAAGTAATTGTACTAATTTAAAAATAAGAAAGATCTTCCGAAAACACCACATGTTTTCCTTTGGGAACAACAAATAGCCAGCTTATCTGGTAGATTTATTTGCTAAATTAGAAGTCGGCGTTCACCGTGAAATTACTTTCAATTCTGTCCTGCATTACTCCCCATTTCTGATATTCCCCAACTTTTTTCTCAAAGAAGTTTGTCTTACCTTCCAAGGAGATGTGCTCCATAAAGTCAAATGGATTTTCAGACATATACACCTAAAATTAAAAAACAATATTGATAAGTTAGAATGCGTAGAAAATGCAATTTAATGCATTAGTACATTAAACGTATTTTCGTATGCACCTTCTCACAACCCAATTCAACGAGAAGCCTGTCTGCAACAAATTCAATATACTGACACATAAGTTTGCAATTCATGCCAATCATTTCGACGGGCAACGCGTCCGTCAAAAATTCTTGCTCAATGACAACAGCGTCCTTAATAATTGACGTAACTCGCTCGCACGATGGCTTCTGCACGACATGTTTAAACATTAAACATGCAAAATCGCAATGCAATCCCTAAAAATATAATCACGCTGTGTTTCAATTGTTCAGCAACTTTTTTTAATCAGTTCGCTAACCTCGTCCCTAGAGATGAGTTCATTGCTGAACGTAAGACCAGGCATCAAACCCCTTTTCTTCAACCAAAAGATGGCAGCGAAGCTACCACTGAAGAAGATACCTTCTACTGCAGCAAACGCGACTACGCGTTCGGGGAAAGTGGCAGTTTCGTGGTTTATCCAATTCAATGCCCAGTTGGCTTTTTTAGCGACGCACGGTAGATTTTCAATCGCGTTAAATAAAAAGTCCCTGTAAGACAGACAAATGTTACAGGTCATAGAAAATTTATGAACGATTAGATCGTGCGATATACGAGATGTCAGATTTATTACGCGCAACTCGGATATACTATTTTGCGAGATGTTTACTTTGATAATCGACAATGAAACTCTGTTTGACACGGTTTCACATGAAAAACAAAGCAACTAATAGGACCTAATAGCGTTATTGGTTAATATGTACCTTTCTTTAGCATCTGTAATGTACGTATCGATCAACAAAGAATACATTTCCGAATGCACATTTTCCATAGCAACTTGGAAACCATAAAAGCAACGTGCTTCTGTAACTTGCACTTCTTGACTGAATCTTTCAACAAGATTCTCATTGACAATACCATCGGAAGCTGCGAAAAATGCTAACACGTGAGATATAAAGTGCTTCTCGCTAGAAGTTAGACAATTCCAATCGAAAGTATCCTATAAATAACAGAAATGGAATGAATTATAAGAGCTTCTACTTAATAGATATTTAATTCTCTTTGAATTCTGGAATTATAACAATTTCATACCTTTGAAAGATCCACTTCCTCTGCAGTCCAAAAGGAAGCTTCCGCTTTCTTGTACATTTGCCAAATGTCAGGCCACTGAATAGGAAACACGACAAATCTACGAGGATTCTCTTTGAGCAATGGCTCTAGCTCTGGATCAAAGTTATCTTCTTTTAATAGCTTTTTTACTGTTTTCATTTTGGCCACCTAAGAAAAAGGTATTGCAATACTAATGGAAAATAGATTTCATCAACTATCAGTACAAAGTTGTACAAAATTATTTATTTACCCCATTCTTTACTCCATTTGCTGAAGAAATGGTCGGCGAAGTACATAATTTTTTGGGAGACACCTGGAAAAGAAAATAAATTCACATTGCATAGCTCATAATTGACAGATTATTCTTCTACTGTTAAATATACAAGAAATTTATAGAAAAAAAGATAATTCTTTGTGAAATTCCAGTCCAAATTGAGTAGCTACTTACAGAAGGTACAGTTAATTTCCTTGATAGCATGGAAACTGTAATGTCTAACAATGAAGTCATACACCTAACCATGATTATGTCACAACCGATTGAATTTACTTTTTAAATAACTGAACGATTTAACAATGTATCACAGATATGTTTTGAAAACAATGAATTTTGATTGTACTTTCTGTCCATTAAACTATATATTGCAATATTTATTCATTTTTATAGAACTTAACCTTGTATAACACACACACGCACACACACGCGCGCACACACACACACACACACACACACAGAGCAGAGCAGAGAGAGAGAGAGAGTGAGAGTGAGAGAGAGAGTACTTATCGTATAGACTTTATTCCATAGAGTTCCCTACTTCTACGTAATTTATACATAAATATAGAAATTTGTTATTCCTAAATTACATACGAAAAAAATATGGTCATTCAAATGGACATTTAAATAAAGATACATACACTGGAAGCACATGATCTGACAAATACTTATTATTTTTATATTACAAGGTAAAGAAACACAATTAATAATTAATTAATACAATTAATAATATAAAATAAACTGCGTATCGTTAGTCATTGCAACAAATATTTTGGAGATCGAAGTACAATCATAGTTGTAATTCACAAGTACGCGAGACATTTAAAACTCGTAGGATTAACCTATCGAACAACATCAATTATTGAATATTTGATTAAAAAGATAAAAGATAAATGATTTATTAGATTTTATTTCGCGATACAAATAAACACGACGTAATTTATAAGTACGATAAACATACCGATGAAATTAAATAGAGCACTCTTGTTCGGTTATGGAAGCAAAAACGAGTTATCAATACCTGCAAAAACTCGAAATACGAGTATATTCAATGCCTACACTACAATGTATTTAACAAATTAACAATGGTCATTGAATAATCTGTGATTAGTGTTTTCTTTTAATCGACACGAGTATGAAAATTTCAGATGAAGTTTTAAACAAGTCATTTTGTAATAGTAAAACGGAATAAGTGTAATTGTATTATATATTTCCATAGCCGCTTGGATGCTAAATAATTATGCATAACAAAAAGATATAGCAGTAAAATTGAACTTACTTTTTCTTTGAGAGAAATGTTCTCGATGTGTTTAAGGATATTTTCTTTCGTCGAGACTTGGAGTGGCATGTTGGAATCTTTATTTGTCGATTAAAAAAACAAACTAATAATCACTATCGTGGGATCTACTATTGCAGAAATATCCACGAGATACCGTGCTCCTCTGAATCAGTTGCTCGAATGTCGAGGAAGAGCTACCAGAGATATCCTCTATTGGCTTTCATGTGCCCGTTTTCGCGCCAAATCCTTAATAACCGCCATCTATTAAGAATCCTTCTCCCGCCAAAACTTATAAATCGTCTCAACATTCGAAGAAAAGCGTATTCGTGCAAATGATTTATTTAAAAATCGCATAAAATAATTCCCTTCATTTTATAAATAAGTTCTGACCCGAAGAACACAACATAGGAATAGTTGCTTTCCCGCCCATTTAAAGAGCTTGCGCGTGGCAATGGCAGATTCATTGCTACAAGTCGGAGCGTAATCTTCAATGAAAGAAAATCAGCTGAGTACAGTTATTTAAAACAAGTAATCCACTCGTCAGCTGATTTAATAAAATAATTTCAACCTTGATTTCTGGCAGGAAATTTTACGAAATTTTTTATTAATTTTTAAATAATCACGTAAGATTTCTTTTAACAATGCGTACTTGCATAATCCTTTAATTGTCGCTTGTAAGGTCCTTCTTCAGTTTATTCTATTTTAAACAATAAATCGTATCAGTGGTACCATCTGTCGTAGAATGTCCGAGCTATTAACATAGATTCAAGATCCAATAATACCGATGATTCTCGAAATTAGAGATTTAGATTTACTACGATTGACTTGGTAGAAAATACTTTACGTTTTCATAAATAAGAATATCATTTGTTGAATAACTAATATAATTATTGTGAATTAAAACATCTATCGCGCATAACTTTCCACAATGCAATAGTTACGCATAAAAAATTGTTGTTGTTGATGTTGTTTTTGTTGTTGTTGTTGTTGTTGTTGTTGTTGTTGTTGTTGTTGTTATTATATGACGTAATGTGTTACCATTGTGTTGTCACAAAATTTAATCAATTTCAATTAATTAATTATTTCCATTAATATGAAAGATTGAGAACTGATCGATTACAATAGCGACAAAATGTCAAATTCAAAAGAGCGCCATTTTATGTTATCGTGAGAGATTTGATTAATTGTATACCTGTATGAAACTTTCAAACACGAGTATAAACTTTTTCTATTCGATATTTAAAAATACCAAGTACTTTTTTCAGCAATAAATCTAACATGGAGAAGTAAACTTTTAAAGTTCTCGAGTAAACCACACTCAAAGCGATTGTATTTCGAACTCTGTGAATTCTGAGGTTAGTGTCGTCAAATAATGACTTTTTCGGTTTGTTTATATATTAATCGGTCGTAGTATAGTTAAAGAAAATGTAGCTACATATTTCTGTATTAAGGGATAATTTCTTGAAGAAAAAAAACTAGTTAATGTTTATTCTATAATTATTGCAACAATTATATTACAACATTCGCATAAACATTTGAATTTCTTAGTAATAATCTCATACCTTTTTATGAAATTCTAACATAAACAAGCTGTAAGATATATTCATATTGTATATTATCTATAGAGGAAAATACGGAAGGCGATAATGGCTTTACACAGTGTGCCTCCTAAAAGAAAAGAAATTTACAAATACGAGGCACCATGGCCTTTGTACAGTATGAACTGGTCTGTTCGGCCCGACAAGAGATTTCGTTTGGCTCTTGGTAGTTTTGTAGAAGAATACAACAATAAAGTACAAATAGTTTCGTTAGACGAAGAGACATCCGAATTTAGTGCCAAAAGTACTTTCGATCATCCTTATCCGACAACAAAAGTTATGTGGATACCGGACAGTAAAGGTATTACTATCTTCTTAGTATAGTCTATTTTGAGAAATAATTTCAGATAAATTGACAATTTTATTTTGTAACGTACAGGATTACTTCCCGATCTTTTGGCTACATCCGGCGATTATCTAAGAGTCTGGAGAGCAGCAGAGCCAGAAACTCGTTTGGAATGCGTTCTAAACAACAATAAAAATTCAGACTTCTGTGCTCCACTCACCTCTTTCGATTGGAACGAAGTGGATCCAAACTTAATCGGCACCGCTAGTATAGATACAACATGTACCATTTGGGGTTTAGAAACAGGACAGGTTTTAGGAAGAGTGAACATGGTCACGGGACACGTTAAGACACAATTGATTGCTCACGACAAAGAAGTATATGATATAGCATTTAGTCGCGCCGGAGGTGGACGCGACATGTTCGCGTCCGTCGGAGCTGACGGTTCCGTAAGGATGTTTGATTTAAGACATTTGGAACACTCGACAATTATTTATGAGGATCCTCAACACACGCCACTGTTGAGACTCGCATGGAACAAACAAGATCCAAATTATCTTGCAACAGTAGCTATGGACGCTCGTGAAGTGATAATTTTAGATGTTCGTGTTCCGTGTACACCGGTTGCCAGGTTAAATAACCATAGGTAGCTAAGATAATCTTTTCATCGTTTTACTGCGGTTTTTCTGCGGTTTTTCTGCGCGGATACTCTACATTCGGTACATACTCGACGTTGTTTTCTGTCTCAGGGCAAGCGTTAATGGAATAGCCTGGGCGCCGCACTCGTCTTGTCACATTTGCACAGCTGGCGACGACCACCAAGCGTTAATTTGGGACATACAACAAATGCCAAGAGCAATCGAAGATCCCATTCTCGCTTACACCGCTGCAGAAGGAGAGGTCAATCAGATTCAATGGGGTGCCACGCAGCCTGACTGGATCGCTATTTGTTATAACAAAGCGGCAGAAATCCTCAGAGTGTAAAGAAACTGTTTACCAAGTAGGCCTACATCTTCCTATTTGTCACGGAGTTTCTTTGCTTTTTCTTTCTTTTTGTTTCTTTTTGTTTCTCTTTGTTTCTCTTTTTTGTTTTTAGAGAGAAATCGTTATATGAACTCGTTCGATTATTTCATTTGAATGTTTCGTATGGAGTTACCAATCGTCCATACATGTTTTTATTTCTTTTCGTACCTGCAAAACAGGCATGTACAAATACTAGTTATTTCGCAAACATACAGAGAAATAAGGGGAATACCTGAGGGGTATGAGTGTAACGAATAATCGTTTTTAAATTTGAATCGTTCGTTTGAGACGAACCGTTCAGTTTCATCGGATCTACGAATGAAAATTGTCGGGACGCGACCATGGATGGACCGATCTAGAAATATCGAGTATATGTACATGTTGACTTAACGATAATGCAATGTGTTATCATTGTGCCACCGGTATTTATGTATGTATTTAAGATTCTCAGGATTATCAAGCAAATGTACACGCGATGAAATGAAATAACAACAGCAAACACGCATAAGAGCTCGTTGAATAGTAGCCGAATAATATAAATTTGTATAAGAGACGGTTTCGTACGTCTTCGGTAATCGATAGATACGTGTTCTGGGGGTACGATATATAGAGACTGACAAATCACATGTATATTACGATGATGTAAAATAATCGTAATCGATGTATTTCATTCTGTGATCAATTTAATTTCGAGAAAAAGAGATTGTTCTTCTTAGAAGAATATTCACGGAGGCAACATTGGAAGAATCGTTTTCTCGTCAGATGGAACGAAATGAAATATATCAATTAGGGTGTAATTGTATATATGTTTATATTTACTTGATTTTCTAGAAAATCATAGAATATCACAATAGATCTTTTGGTAATCTGCAGGCTCGTTTAGTACATTTGATGAAAACGACAATTATATTCTAGCAAGCGCGCGCGCGTTCGCGTTCGCGTGTGTATGGCGTGTGCGTATGGCGTGTGCGTATGGCGTGTGCGTATGGCGTGTGCGTATGGCGTGTGTGTATGGCGTGTGTGTATGGCGTGTGTGTATCCATGATTCAATAAGAGAGAAAAGCCACGTTAAATTCTTTTATTCCAACGACAAAAGTTGTAGTGGTAGTATTGGTGATACTAGAATTAGCGAGGAAACCAACTTATGTGATAATATGATTACATACTTACGAAGTTTTCAAGATTCTTAAGATGTAAGATTGTATCATGAAATTGTAATTAAAGGTAGTCTTTTTATACATAAATTATTTAAATCAACTCTAAGGCAACTCGGTATACTTAATAATCCATGCTTTCACGAGAATCATAGTTTCCATAGCCGACAACATATGGTAGGATTATAACGAACACAGTTGAAATGCGAAAGAAAAGGAAAATTTCTATTGCTGTCCGATGTATCATAATTTACAGCTAATATAATGGGCGAGATGCATTATTTACAATAATGAAATGCGAGAACGCGTGTCAGAAATATTAGCCAATCGATTAAACGAAATTTTTGCAGTAATACTTTGTTTTCGATAGAATGTTTGAGGACTTTACGCAGCTGTAAGATTAGTATTATATATTACTGCTACTTTAATAAATATTATTAACTCTGATACAGAGTAAGCTCTTTACTACCTAACAGTACACACAGTCGATGATTTCGCATTCTTATTTTTCCTCCGAATGTTCCGATTTATAAGAATATTTACATTTTCCTACGTCAGATCGTTCCCGATGTAACTCGGTAACATTACGAACTACAGTGGAAAGGAGAGTTTTGGTAAAACTTGTCAAAGTTTCTCGAAATTTCGAGTTGTTTCAAGGAATACACGCGCGGAAGGAACACAGATTAGTAGACTTTCGCTGTGAATCGCATTTTACCGGTCTGATAATAACGTTATTCGTTTCGTGAACATTTTATCCACGTGCGCAATCCCCGAACACGCACAATGTACGTCTCTAGAAAAGAAAAAGAAAAAGCACAATTAACAATAAAATCTCAGACGACCGGTCTGTATGGATCCACATTTACACGTAAAGCGGAACTTACGTTGATCGGTGGTTCCTTAAACTGTTTATTATAATTAATGCATCACGGTAAGGATAAAGATCGAGCGGTGTTCCTCGTTGAACAGTGTGTTAAGCACCCCCTAACATTTACAACTCTGATCTTCAGGAAAATGCGGCTAAATTCTACTGAATACTCGATCTACAGGAATATAGATCGAGATTAGTTTGTTTCTACGGCGACCTCGTTCACCTTTACGGAACATGGGAAGACTGCGAAGCGAAGCGAATCGAATCGAATCGAATCGTAGGATCTGCTTTTCGTTGAGAAGCAACTCGCTGCTTTTCATTCGATACATCAGGTCAGAGAGTTTGACGACAAAGTCCCGACACGTCCATAAAAGTAACGGTTGTTAGGTCATACAGTGATCACCCCGTATCCAAAGGAAACACTGCAGCTAGTGTTGCAGGAGACGTTAGTTAAACAGCGTTCACTATTCCGACTATTCTCCGAATTCTCGGTGCGTAGACACGTGCTCGTGGAAGGTCTGATTCGAATGCTATTAAAGAACGCATAATTTGCTGGCTATGTAATGAAGATGTAACACCGTGCATCCCATAGTCAGCATGTTCCCCATAGCGATGTAGACGTGAACGCGTCGGAAGGCTTTGTGAATGTTCAAGTAGTGTGGACAATGCTTTAACGGGCCTGGGTTGTGACGGCCAATCTCGTTGCCGACCCCAGCGGCACGCTCCAATATGTTTTTCTGAACTATCAATTGGAGGAGAGGCGGGGTCAGGTACAGCCTTATTAGCAGTTCCAGGAAAAAAGCACTGGACATGGCACACACCTGAAAAGAAAAGAGCGATGTCTCTGGTTGTTCGCGCATCGCGTAATACACGCTTCGAGCTGGGTACGCGCACCAACGATCGAACGATTCGACGATACGTTGGAAGAAAGGGGTCGGACAAGTGAATCGTTTCAGCCAACTTGCAAACACGCGTACCTGTATGGCTATCTCTGTGTCCCACGTGTGCGCCGGATGATGCTTGATAAAAATTAGGAGCGTGGTCAGGCTGAGGCACGCGTTGATGGTAAAATACCTTGGGAAGAGAATCCTCTGTACTTCGCCGAACGCGTGTCTCGGTAACGCAAAGTATAGAGTGAGACCTGGAACAACGATAACTCGAATGGTGAGATTTTAGCAGCGAGGTAACACGGTGCTTTCATCGATTTCTCTTTTTCTCTGCTCGTTACCTGAAACAAAGGTCATCCAGATTTGAGCACCGAGATGCATCACGAACGAAGCCAAATAAACGAAGGTAGTTATTCTCGAGTAGGGATGGCCAGCACCTTGCACTCGTTCTTTCGTTGGGACCAGAGCGGACGTTACGCACAGAACCGCTGCAATCATGATCACGTGAGCTGGTTGCGTGGTGTGGAATAAAATTCTGGAACAGAACAACGGAAGAGATATACAGAATGGTGAATTTCGTTGAAACGGTAACGATTCTCCTAATTGAATCGAACAGTATGACCGAACATACGCGCCAACATCGTTGATACGGTTTACACGAGTCGCGTGACCGCATCTTATTATTATCGAATCCGGTTCTCCGTCAAGATCCACTCACGAGACTCGCGCGGCGCGATCCTTCCAGGCGCCAGACGAACGCACACCGGTGTGTCACCGTTCCGCGACAAGGTGTTTCGGTTCGCTCGGAGAAAGGGCAGAGCTTGCACAATGGAATTGTACACCGATACCGCTGTTAATTTCCATTTAATCTCCCTCGGTACACGCGACGAAGGTATCTCTATGCTCGCGTTGCACTCTCAACGCTTGCGAACGCATACGACGAACAAACGTGTGATTCGTGAAATAGTATGTTCGCGGCACCGATCGGTTCCCTCCAGCGTGCCCGAGAGGGTATCATCGGCTCCGTAAACAAAAACGAGGTTGCGTAAAAGAAATTCGTCTCTTCTCCGAGAGATAAGCAAATGATCCCAGTGGTGGTCTGGTAGCGCAGCCGGAGATCGCGAACTGGTTTACCGAACCGTACAATACGCGCACAACGAACGGGGAAACGTGTTTACACGGAGGTGTAGCGTTCAATATTTGCCGTAGACCGCCTGCCATATCGCTGCAATCAATTCGCACGTAGCAGGTAGAGAAGAGAGACCGGTTGCATCATTTACAGGCCGGTGACGAAAGGTTCCACCACGGTCGCGTGTCGATTCTCGGGGTTTCTTCGGTTTGGGAAACCCTCTCCCCGACTCACGGGGATGCGAGAAGAAAGGATCGCGGGGCTACCTGCGCACCGCCGGCAGAGACCCTTTTCGACGCAGCGAATACCCTATTAGGCTCTCGGCTTTTCGAAGGCTCGAGGTTCAGAGGTAACCTCGACGATACTAGGACGTTCACGATTCCAGGCGCACCGTATATTTCGCAAGAAATCCGCGTTGCACGCCACGTATAAGTGCCGCCCCGTCCGAGGTTCCGTCCGAGGAAAACTGTGAAGAGGATCCGCAAAGATTACACGCGGCGTTAGCTCGAGAGGGAACACTTGACCCGAATCCAATGTAAAATGGAAAATCTCCGTAGACCGGTTAACGGACTCTCAACGCGGTCGTTCGCGGAAGGTCCCGTGGTATTTCGGAGCGATCTTTTCTCCTCGCGAAAGGTTTTCGACCGGGCTCGCGTCTCGCCGCGTTTTAAGGATATTAAAAGGTACGCTTCTCGGAATCACGGAACAGGATCGCTCGCGCGACGAGAGTTCGGCGGTCGATTCGCGGATCGGCAGGGATCGGCTGCGCTGCCCGAGGTCGACGTCTCCTCCGAGGCAAACAGATAACGCTAACCGCGTTAAGAAAACGACGGAATCGACGATTCGACGAATACGATGAAACCGTAATACGGTGGCGATAAATGTGTGCCAATGGAGACTGCGCTTCGATAACAGGCGTCCGAGGTGACAACTTTCTCGCATCGATTATTTCGAACATGATCCGAGGCCGGACAAAGGCCTGGTTTTTCCTACCTCTTCCGACGAATCGCGTTCTCGATGAATGAAACGTCGATGTCGCGTGACTCGGTTTCGTCATTGATATCTCTGGCGCGTTTTCATGTAATCGGGGCTCGGAAATTGCTTCCTCGTAGGGGTAAAAGCTCGAATGTCCCCCGATCTTCCGGTTAATACCGTTTGCGAAAATTCTCCTGGCGGCCGACGCGTCGCGAGGGATTCGCGTTTCCATCGTGGAGGCTCGCGGAAACTATTCGCTGGAGAAAGTCGAAAGAGATCGCGATTCGAACCCCTAAAGGCCTGTGTAGGTCTAAAGGCCGGACGCGAGTCGAGTCTATTCGGTCCCTCTCCTAACGCGAGAGGGACCCGCCGATGAAAAGGGACCACGGAAGCCCATGTTTCACGATCGTCGTCGCATCGTGAATGGCGCGACCATTCTGTTTCTGCGCTTACGAGCAGTCCCCGCTCGCCTTCCGAAGCACATTAGCCTGGCAAGATATACAGTGCACAGGGCATTATGAGCCAGTTATCGAGAGGCGCAGACCGGGAGACGTGCGAGATGGCACGCACACACCGCCTTGCAATTACCCATGCTGATTTCAGCGCGGATCAAACAATGAGAGTTACATCGCGTAGCTTGATTCGGGGGCAACAAGACGCTACTAGGCTGCCGATCAGATATCCGCACCGCTCCCGTTAACCTTTTCCTCGGGGACCGAGACGCGAGATCCTGGGTACGTTTCGAAAGATGTCTCGTCCTACCGAGAAATATCGATGAATTTGGTCGTTGGCGCGCCTCGATAACACACCAGTCGGACCGATTAAGATAATTTACCTCGTTTATTAACGCGCGGCCGACTCGTGATTTATGCGCGTTCGCGAAAGCGCGAACAGCTGCGCGACAAACGGGGCGCGTCGTATTTTAGGGCCAACGCGCGTTTCAGCATGACGGGAAGAGCGATTCTGACGCGGTCCTTTGACGCCGCGTGTCTCCGGTTCTCGAGACAGAGGAGATTTCTTCCAAGCGTGCCCCCGAGCACTCGAGCCTTGGCCTGCGCCAGATGTTCCCGGCCGGGAATACTCGGCCCATTCAAATTCCTTCGCGACTACCTGTCATCTACCGACGAGACGCTGGCTCGAGTCGGGGAAAAACCTCCGGTCCGCGACGTTTCGTGAATAATTCCGCAATTTCTTTCCTCCACCGTCTACACCTGAACGCTCGGTTTGTTCGCCGCTGAAATATTGTATACAGTGTAAAGAAAGTTCCGTCGCGTCAACTACACGGTATTATTTATAGAGTCAGCTGACTAAATATGTATAATTAGACAATCGCCTACGCGAACGAGTAACCTCGATATTTTTCCTCCTACCGTATGCAACCCTCCCGATACGATCGAATACATTCGCGTATCGGTTCGGTAATCTCGAATTCCGATGTTACGATGAGAATATGACCTTAAAAGAGAACCGTCGCTTTAATGGGTTGCTTTCACTTCGAATCTAACAGGCATTCCTTTTTTTCAGGCAACGTTCGTGTTCGGTGGTGCAATCTAAGAAGCCGGGCCACGGGGCAAAAACGCGAGATTCCGACGCTAATTTCCTTTTTTCCATTTGGCGAGCTCACGAGTGGGTGTCGTCGAATAACCGATATCTCGGCGCCACCTTTGTCTACCGTCGCAAACAGATAAAACAGGGAAAACAACGTGTCCGCGAGATTCGCTCGAATTCGGCACGAGAGACGGTGTAACTATCCGAGTTGGAGCGTCGAACGATAGTCGGGAACCGATTACGCTATTATCTGCTCTATCTGTGATATATGTATATATGTATATAATATATATGTATAATCATCTTGTTATCAAACTTGCATTTCTTATGTAATTGTTACGCGATCCTCCACAACTCGGCTTCCCGCGCGTGGAGAATGCGTGACCGCGCGTAATCTCAGCGATCTCGTTTCCACGCATGTGCGGACCGTGGCATTCGAAAAAGCTGGCGAAAACACGTGACGGGGATTACCCCATCGAGGGACCTGCAATTATTATAGTATTACGGTATTCGGCTAATTTTAGTCGCGGGTCGATGCACAAAAGGAAACAAGGAAAGGTTGCTCGAAGAGGCCTGTATTTATCCTGTCGCGGCAGGTTTACTTATTCCGTATCTTATTTCAGATACACGAACATCTACTTGCGGCTTCTCAGCGAAAGATGTCAAGATAGAAAGCTGTTCGCGCCACCATGCCAACCCGATTTGATTTTTCGTCGTCACCGATAGATCGATCGATGTATCAGATTCGACTAGCTTTACACGGTGTTTCGTTGAATCGAATAAAACTCTGTTCGCCCGGTAGTGTTTACTCCCCAAATAAGCGAAAGCTAAAGATGACTGCTCCGCTAAAGCGACCGGGAGATGACCGGTAATCGGTTCGTTACTTTTAGATACGGAAATAGATCAAAGACCCAACCGTGAATCAATAAACGTTCGGAATAACATTCGATATTGCTAATGATTCACGCGTCCGATCAAAGTTTATTGCATATTTATCACGCAATCGTGAAAGAGGAGATGTTTCGAAATCCGTCCATTCTTTTCCTTTTTCTTTTCCTCTCTTTCCCCTTTCTTAATCTGCAATTTCAAAATACACGTTCGTCAAAAATATTTCTCCCCGGATCCGATTCGACCGGAGCGTATCGCAGGGAAGAAAGAAACTTTTGGTTGTACCAATTTCTGGTATGCACACCCCGCCATTACCCCTTCCACGGTACCCGGATACTGTAATGGGAAAAGGTGGCAACCCCAGTGTCATGTTGAGCTCTCGGTGCCATTCGTATTCAAGCGCATAGTCACGTAGACCATTTCATGCTCTAATTGTTTCGCCTCTTATTTTCTATCTCTTCATTTTCTTTTTTTCGGATTCGATCGATCTTCGAACAGCACCGTTGTTATCCTGCGTCGACAATCTCGATTCTTTTTCAGAGAATTCTAATGAGAATCGCTGCTTGAAATTACTACCGAGCTCCATCGGATTTTCTCACCGTTACTCCGAAAGGTTCGCGCAGAAATTCACCGCGTTCTTTCGCGCGAAGAATCTTCAAGAGTCTCGTTTCTCTAATAGAACGTTTTTATCGGTATCGAGATTCTTCGGCTTATCGTCGCTCGAATCTGTCCGTACACACCGGAAACGATCTATTGAAATTTCATTAAAACGAGGCAACCTCCGCGGCGTTATTAGCGGAAGTTGCGAAACGCGAACCTCCGATTTCTCTTGAACGACCATTAGTTTCGTAGAGGTTCCATTCTATCGGATATCGGCTGAAAGACGCGGCGCCGCGTCTTTGATGATTCTCCATAGACAATTGTTTGTGAAATGCGCGCTTTAAGACCGTATGCATTCGTAAGCTGACACGACGCGTCTGTCGAGATTACTGAAAATCTTTGCAGCGCATCTGCGGCTGATACGACATTTTATCTTGTTCCGTGTATGGTAAGTGCCTGTCGGTTATCCGGCAAATTGTCACGCAGTTTTCATTATCGATCTGTGGATCTGCCCGCCTTTGAGCCACGTCGAGTGCCGTTCCTCCGGATCGACGAAAATCGAACGTTTCTAAAATCCGGCGATACCAGCCGTCTTCACGAATACCTCGAGAGACCTAACCGAACGAATCGGAGAGAAAGGGGAGATGATACGTACTTGAAGAATTTGGTTTGTTGCAACGCCTCGTAGTAGTTTGACAACGCTTTCAGCAGCGAACTGTAGTTGAGGGTACTGGCCCTCAATATGTGATCGGCCAGCTCCGGAATGAAAACCTCCTGGGCCTTCTGGCCCTCGACGACGTCCAGTTCCCTGGCCAGCAGCTCGTCGTGTAATTTCATGTACTTTTCTTTCGCTTTTTGCAATTTGTTGTTCTGCCGATGAAGCGCCGCTACCGGCTCCGCGGGTTCCGTGCCAATCGATGTACGAACACACATGGCTTTTCGCGTTTGGCAACCGTGCGAGTCGTGCGATAAACGAAAAGGGAGGAGAGAGATATCTGAGAACGGCCACGAATCGTCTTTCACTGATTGCGCACGACCGAGACACCTTCCAATTTAGACGAACGAATTTTTCCGAGGGAATTTCGAAATTCCGGTGCGGATCAACGCGATCACGAACTTGTACTGTCGCACAGTGCGCCGCTCCGTGGACGTAATCCCCTTTTATACCTCCCCACCAGCGATTCACGATCGACCAATCCACGGGATCTAGCGATCGAAAGGGTTTCTCGTTCCGGGAACCCTGAAATTCACAAGAATAACATTCAGATATCTGCATAGGCAGACGTGTAATTAGCTGTTGTACGATCGAGCAGACTCGGCAATTCCGAAAAGCTCGTACGTATCTTTTAGGGTAGCCGGCAGCACGCCTGGAATCCAACAGGCGGTTCAGACGGTTCAGACGGTTCAGACGGAGCAGGAAATACAACTTCGTAACAGGATTTCCACGTCGATTTCCATTTACGTAGATCGATGATATTAAAAGCTTTATATTTTCTTCTTTCCTTCCGCGTATTTCAATGTTGTCGCGGTGTCGGCTCAATTCCGTGCACCGAAACGAAAGACAGAGCAATTGCGAATCCGCACTCGACGCGAATGGGGAAATTCAGATTGCATTTCATTCAGCTCTCTGCTCGTCGATAACATCTTCGTTTATCGTTTGCAAGATAACGCTTGTGGATCATTGCCATTATATGCAGTTTCGCCGACACCTTTCAAATGCGAACCTGTGTTCGCGTAAACCTAAAATTCATTTATGAATATTTATCTTTCGAGCAACATCCGAGTCGATCGGATTTAGGTGGTTGTGCAATCGAGTAATATAAGAATTATCAAGATCATTCTTCACCCGTCTCGTTTGAAATGCTTCGCCGTTCGGATTCCGTATTTTTTCTATGGAATTGGATCGTTTGTCAATTCAATCCTCATCTTACCCCTTTATTTCCTCGTTTTCCTCGCTCGAGCGTCCTACGCGGATTCTTCGACGGAAATCGATGAATTATTCAGGCCCTGAAGCTGCAACGAGGAACCGGATACGAAAAAAGAAGATGGAAAGAACACGCGTTCGGCGTTATTCGCCGATCGTTGCTTCTCGCTGGGACGATTTCGGACGAGGAGTTACTCTGTTGACCAACAACATGTTAATTCGATCGATCGAACCAACGGATTTGTTCGCAGTTGTTGCAGTCGTTCCATCGATCCACGTTCAAACGAGACCTTCGGAACCGTTACTACACCGATAGAGCATTATTTGAGATGTCAGTTACCGTTCGTTGCAAAAACGCGTTCCTTTCGAGGCGGGGTCAAATTCAAATCTAATCTTCGCTGCCATTCGATCTTTCGGAATTCTCGTTCGGAAGACGGTAAACGTACGCGTAACATTTTGCATATTTGGACGCCATCTGTCAGCTATTCTTCTAGGATGCAACTGTAACGTGATCTATGGTCCGAATTGAACATTATTTTTTGCAAGGTAGCAAAGAGATTTGCTTTATCAACCGATTCAACCGAGCGCATAATTTCCCAACGGAAACTCAGCCTCGTTCGAATTCATTCTGGATTAATTCGATCCGAACGGAACGGGTTATTGGAAAATGCAAGACACGAGAACCGTCGCGTTGTTCTTTGCTGCGTGTAACGTTTCACGAGCAGCTATAAATGCAATTACGCTGACGAATCGATCAGCTCTCGTATCGTCCGATTCTATCCCATCGCGCATAACGCTCGACGCTCGACGCTCGACGCTCGACGCCCGACGCCCGACGCCCACGGACACACACGGACACACACGTTGTATCGTTAGGCGAGTTAAAAGCGATTCGTTTTACGAGTGCCTACGTGATTCCTGGCGTCGCCCGGACATTTCTCAGGCCTCGGTTCGTCGAATTTTTTCTACGATCGTTCCCATTCGGGTCAGATTAAGGATTCTTCGAATGTCCAAATTCCACTATCGAATTGCATCATTTTTCCAACGCGTACCCACCCCGACAGGCGAACGTTACCGAACGCGATGGCAACGAAAGATCATCGTATATTTTTCAAACTTCTTTTTCGAGCCCCACGAAACCTGTCGGAATGCGAACGAAAACTGGTTCCGTGAATTAGTCGAGAACAACGCGCGATTCCGAGAGAGCAGCTCTTGGAATTAGGTGAAGGCCTGCTGGAGCTTACAGGCGCGCTCTATCGTAGAAAATCTATCCGAGGAACTTGCGATGCAACTTGCAAAAGGCTCGTCGATATTTCAGTTGAAAAAGTGTGCGTTAGCCTTGTTGTAGAGTTTATCAAGGAACAGAAAAAGTAGGTCAATCGCGAATGTGTGCAACGAGACCGAATATTAATCATAAATATTACAGCCGCCGATTGGCGCAATCGCGAATGAAGCGCTCGTGGAAACGTGATGGTACTCACGTTCCAGCTGGTTTTCGACTTTAGCTCTTTCACTCGCAACAATATAGTGGGGCGACTGCTAGTTCCGTGGAAAACTATATATGTATATTCTTAGATTCGGTTCTTACATCGTTAACCGTAATTAAAGGCCCGATGCGTTATCGTAAAATGCTTACAATTGGCAAATTTATTTTCGTTATTTATACATGGCGTGTTACATGAAATCACATTCATCTCAAACTACGTTTCGGGTTTCGAGGACAATAATGAAAAAATAACGTATAGAAATAAACTATGAATAATACGACCGCGATCATGCATAGCTAATAGCGGCCTAATGTGAAATACAAAAAGTAAGATCGTAAACTTTTAACTCTGATCCATTGCGTTGGTTTCGTTCATACTGCTTCCGCTGCAGTCCTTCTGAATGATTTCGAACAGTGGTTGTAACTCGGGGGTTGCCTTGATCTGTGTCACGAACTCGCATAGCGACGGATTCTTATCTGAAAGTAAACGAGTTTCTTCGAATCCGTCTCGTTCGTGTTCTATCCGAAACGTGAGTCTACAGAGAAGAAAGATCTCGCTTACCAGCGTCTGGGATCGTTAATAGCGCCGCCACAGCCCTCAGTGCCGAACGCTTCAATTCGTCTTGCTTCTCGTATTCTTGCTTCACTGAATTTGCTTTTACTTTCATCGTACAAGTACTTTTCAATGGTTCGACTAGTCTCTCCAGCCCTGTTCGCCAACATTTTCATTAATGGAAATCAAAATAACGCGCCTTAATATTCGTTTCGAATTCACTTTGAGAATATTTACTTTGCAAAACTGCTGTGGGACATAATTGAGCGAGTCTGGCCGTCATAAGGTAGGTCAACATCTTGATGTCATAGTGATCTCTAAGGCCGTTCTCAACGTGGTTCAGGAAATTGAATACATCTAACCGATCGAGGCAAGAATCCAGTAACGTGTACATGCATTCGAACGCAGCTTTTCTAAGATCCAGACCGTCGTCTACCGTGTGTTTGAAAGGACCCATTTCAACTTCCCTGATCAGTTCTTTCTGCGCACGTATCGTTCGAAATCCAGCAGATTAACAAAACATTTCTTTCGTAACAAAAGAAACAGAAATATTACTTGTCAAGTACCTTTATCTTGGTTTCAGCGTAGAGGTGCGGCAGTACGGAATCTAATAAATCTCTTATTAACATCGGTTTGTTGTGAGCCGCAGAATTAAACGCGACCAAAGCTACCCTCCTCACGTTCAGGTCAGGATCCTCTAAAGCTACCAAGAAATTTCCCATGCACTGCTTTAACATGGCATCGATCTGCTGGGGCTGTAAACACGTCGAAAACGTTGGAAACGTTCAAAGTTCTGTCTAGGTATACCACTTTCTTGGTACGTTTCTGTGCGAATACCTGATCGGAAATGGTGAACTTGACAGCGGTGACTGTGGTGGTTCTCATAAATGCAGACGGCGATTTTAACGATTCTTGTAGTTTCGGTAACAAGGTGGCACGATCGATCAACGTCAGCTTCCCTAGACATTCCGCGACAACGTTACGCGTCCCTTCTTCCGTGCATTCGCAATGCCTGTACAACAACATCCAAATCGAAGGCACGAACTTTTGCAAGTGGGTTACGCCATAGAGACTAGCAGATTGACACGTGATGATCTGCAACGTTACGCGTTTCAAATATATCCGATCGCTTCGACGAGGACAATGTTCGGCCCAGAACAGATACCTCTTTCAACGAATGCAAAAGTAGATATTGACGTTTTGGTTGTGCTTCTATTTCTTTCAGTATAAACGGCAGATATTCCGGAAGATTCCCGACTGCTATATTTCCTAGCGTGTAACTGGCTGCCGACTTCACTTCTTCCGAGTGGGACGAAAACGAATTTAAAATTATGTGTTTCAGAGAAGCAATTCCGCTCAGATCCCTGAATGAGAAAATTCGATTGAGAAACCAACACAAAGAGATTCGCGTGTAGATCCGAAATACTGTGTGTGCTGTAAGCAACGTTATTTACACGTGTCTGCCTATTTCACCGATAACCAATAGCGCGAAGATATGCTGTGCGTCGGTTTGCGGGTTCTGAACGTCTTTCAAAAATTGCTCTACCACTGCCTGCACCCCTTCGTGCCACGTGATTGTCAACGCGGCCGCGCATTTGGCAAGGGAATGGTAAGCTTGCTTGTGAAGTCCAGATTCGTTTACAGGTGCTATCAACATGGGAAGCAATTCTCTGTATCCCAGGCCTGGTATGTCCGCGTGGACTAGCGCTTGGAAGAACTCCAGCATCGAACTCAACGCCACACCTAACACACGTGAACAAACAAACCAGTGAACAACAATGCTGCGATGCGCATTACAGAAATGGAAATACGCTCTCCAGTATATTACCTTGGAGGAGCGGAGACTTCACCAACACCAATATTTCCGGTAGGATAAAATCCGATACCCTTGCCAGTGCAACGGGGTGTCGCAATGCGATAACAGTCAGAAGATTAAGAGTTAATTGCGCAATGTGCAAATCAGTCTCGTTTAATAATGCTGGTAGCTCTGTGGTTACCTAGAGAATTTCAATCGATTGTATAGAATAGTTTCAACTATTGTATTTCCAACTATTATATTTTACCTTATCCAATAAATCGACGCGAAGGGCAGAGCTGTAATTTTGCACCAGAGTGTCTAGAAGTGGGAGGGAACACAATTTTAAAGCTCGTTGATTTTTTCGGAGAAAAGATCCAAGTATAGGAATCGCCTCGTCCTACAGTTGAAATATCAAAAAGAAATAACTTAATCGAACGTCGACTCGCGTCTGCCGTACAACAGGATGCACACGTACCATAATCGGCTTTAGATCTACTCTCAGAGGTGACGATGCTATACAAGTTAAGGCCTTGACGGTCGTAAGTCGTGTGATCTCGTTACGAAGTCTATCCAGGAATATAGGAAGGCAAACGTGTAACTCGTCGGACAAGATGTCTCCGAAGTGAGCGAGAATTTGACCCATGCAAGCGATCGCTCTCTCTTTCACTTCCTGATCGATATCCGCTGTTCTTAGTCTCATCAATGTACACCGATATATCTCACCGGACAGCGATGTCAAATCGAAATAGCAGGGTTTGTCTGGAACAACGATCATCTTAGTCTTCTTCTTGTTCTCAACGAACCCCGCTTCAACGTCGTTCTAACCTACCGTGTGGTCTGATCACTTGAACAAGCTGTTGCAATACCAATAGCGCTTCCGCTGTGATCTTATAAAACGGATCTCCGACAGCAGCTATAATGGGAGGCGCTAACACCGCCATGTGAGCATGGAAAACTTCCGGTTGATGCGTGATTAGTAACGTATGAACGAAGGCAAGTGTGTCAATTTTCATATTCGACGAGGAATTCTTATCGCCCAATGAATATTGAATACCGGATATCAATGCGGGAATATGATTGTTCAAAGCACCGGGCAACACGAGTACTAACTCCTTCAACAACGAGAAACAATCTTGTCTGGTTTTAATGCTTTTCTCTTTCATCTGACGATGAACTGCTTTCACTATTAGCGGGACTTGTTGTTGGAGTAACGATATCGGACCGTCGTCGTCTTCCATCGCGTCGGGGTCAAGCGGTACTCCGGTGGCCGGTCTAGTTTGTTTCAGAAGAGCAATGTACGCATGAAATATATCCGATTTCACGTTTTCTTCTCTTTCTGTCGAAACACACGTTAGAGACTTAACATGCTAGTCGAGGATCATTTGTCATTTGTAAAGAATACCTTTAAATCTTGAGATCAAAGCCGGAGAAACGTCTTTATAGAGATCTGGAAGGAGTTCCCGCCTGCTAGACACAACAGCCTCTAAACACTTGGCGGCTGCTCTACGAACCTTCCAACTCATATCGTCGTCATCCGAATATTCGTCTTCCGCGTCTTCCTCTCCATCTTCTTCTACTTCCATTACTACACCTTCTCCATCAGATGCATCATTCATATCGTCATCGTAATTATAATTTGGATCATACGTGATGTACATCAGACAAATGTCTATGATCTAAAAAAAATGCTCGTTAAGTCCGATTCACTAGACACCAGCAAGACCGTATGAAATCTCACTTTATTTATATGTGGAGTAATTTCTTTGGGACATCTGTATACAAAAGATTCGAAAGCCTGCAAACAATACTCTCTCAATTCGTCATCGTCGTCCATGCTGTATTGTAAGATTAACGGCATCACTCTCTCTATTTGTTCCCCGAATCTGTGTCCCGCCTGACGACTACGATTTCAAAATAACAGTCAAACATTCTAGCATTCGAGTATACGCACCGTACAATTCTTCTCCGAGAAATACTCACCAAATAGAAGCGATACATTGTATGTACGTGCGCACCACATTTTTAGCAGTCTGAGTGGAAAGACCTTCGAGTAAATGATCCAGAAGTTTATTGTACAAGTAATTGTTACTCGAAGTCAAAAGATGACTCAACGCTACTATGGTACGTTTTCGAACTGCTTGACGCGGAGAGGAAAGTTGTGGTAACAGAGCAGCCAGAATGATAGAATGAAAGGTGACTAGTAAAGCACCAAATCGAGACAGTAAATCAGCGACAATATCGAGGGCCTCGAGCTGTACAGACACATCTTCCTGCTATGTAAACGGTAATTAGTATTTTTCTTGAACCTTTCGACAACCTAATACAACGGTCATTACTTTTTCAATAGCACTGCTCAGACGACCAGTTATTCGTTTACAAACATTTGCAACGAGTGCACTGGATCCCAAAGGAAGTTCAGAGATTACAGTCTTCAATCCGATACTGGAGATATCCCTCAACTGTTCCTTGTCCGACACCATATTACTGCACAACGCATCTACGATAGTTTCCACTTGATACTCTTTTACTTTATTGACTAATGGGCCCAAACTGAAATCGGACACGTTTCTGTAATCGTGTCCAAATACAAAGAAAATCTTGCAAATGCAAGAAAGAACGTAACTGATCTTTTTAAATAATGAAAATGTTGAATATTTAATACCATTATAAATCAATTTCAAATATAATAACAAAAGAGAAATTTTCTACTTTCTAGGCTTAGTACTATATGCTATAATTTCTGTATAACTGTACCATTTTACTGCAAGGTTTTGTACTTCTCCATTCTTGTCCTCCAATAGCTTTAAAAGCATTTTCACAACTTTGCGCTCCGAGTCATCGTCCAATTTGATACTATCTTTTTGTAATTCGCTCATCAGATCATTAGTTGCCATGAATCTAAAGTCCTTATCGCTGGAGGTCATCTAAGACAATAAATTTTAATAAATTCTAATAAATTTCATTCGTACAATGTAATAGACTATAAAACCAGGATGTAAAGGATCGTTTAAGGAATAACAAATAAAGAATGCAAACATTTCCATTGAATGGTTTAAAATAATATTTACATAGACTCGCTCTTCTACCAAGTAACACCTTTGTTTTTCA